AAGTCTTAAACACATTTTTGACACGTAAGAATTAAAATATCATTACACAGACTTAGTCTAATCACCGTTTTCGCCAACCACCACTTAACCATCTCTTAACTAAGAGTTACTTAGCGCGACGTAGCACTTAAATTAACCCCTTACATGTACTGTTAAGTGTCACTTACATTGATGAACACAATTAAGAAAAATATTGTTAAACCCTAGAATAGGCGAGCTATGAGCATTTTGTAGCCTGCACTAAAAAATTGGTAATAAAATTAAAACAGGGTAGCAGCGCGCCAGTCGCCGCGTCGCGGGTCGCGGAATGCTCATGAATACGAGTCTGTAGCATGGCTTGAAACTAGTTGAGTTCCACATCAAATAATTACGTAAGTAAGCCGAAAAATAATATATTTTTTATATACTTGATGGGTCGACGTTTGACCCCTATCTCGCCTGGGGGTAAGCGATTATGCGGTCTACGATGGAGCACGTCGTCCCATAATCAACCTTTAATATAAATAAAACAACTGCCATATAGTGTTGCACTTTTTAATAGTTGCCTCACGCTGAAAGATTTCATTTAGAGATTTACGCACCGGTGACTCGCCGCCTGACATTTTTTTTAAGAGGGGAAAATCATCGAATGGCTGCTCCCGCCTGGGTGAGGCGGAAGGGAGTGTCAGACTTAAGAGTCTTACTGATTAAAAACCAATCCGTTCTTTCTCCTGCACGTCGAGCCGGAGCCCCGGTAACCCGTTACGTTCCCCGCGACTCGCCGCCCGATTACAACAGACCCGAGCGTACGGCGCATTGCGTTCCGCGCGCGCCTCAAGAAGCCATCAGACCACCACGGATGGGGCCCAATAGGGCTGATGCCGATACGGAGCCGCGGAAAACTTAACCGGTTACCGGGGCTCCGGCTCGAAGTGCAGGAGTAGGAACGGGGTGGTCTTTAGTCAGTAAGAGTCTGACACTCCCTCTCGTCTCACCCAGGCGGGAGAAGTCATCGGATGAAAAAAAAATGTGCTAGGGACCAGTTGAGAAACCACCACTTTCACCAGGCTTTAAAATGCTCACCACGTGCCCACAGACGTTTTGCAACAGCCGCGCCCACTCTAGGTTAAGTGTCACATATCTTAGAGGTCTTAAAATTTAGGAGAGGTTGCGATAACGAGCTTTAGATACTTATTTAGACTTTAATTCTCTTCTAGATACCTGTTCCATTCCGTTTTAGGCATAGCACATATATAGGGTGTAAACAAACCGCTCACGAAAAGCGCCGACAGGCGATCGTAAACAACAAATAATCTTATAAATATACTATTATATAAAGCGGAAGAGTTTGATTTTTTGTTTGTTTGTTTGTTTGAACGCACTAATCTCCGTAACTACAAGTCTGATTTGAATAATTCTTTTTGTGTTGGATAGCGCATTTATCGAGGATGGCTATAGGGTATAGAACATCACGCTACGACCAATAGGAGCTGAGCAGAGCGTGTGAAACCGCGCGGAAGTAGCTAGTATTTTGGGAATTAAATGTTTCTTTTATGTAATTATAGTTGTAATCAACTCAAGGCTGATGCTGAATTAATAACACGAAAACAAAAACGATTAAGATTGTAAAAACAATTTATTATTATTAGCGTTTCGGGAGCATTATGTTTACACCCAATATACAATATAACATAACATCCCGCCTTTTATCCCCGAAGGGGTAGGCAGAGGTGCACATTATGCCACTGTACAATGTAACACGCACTTTTCACTATTTATGTTACGAGTCCCATGTAACAGGGGGTGAGCCTATTGCCATATACCGGGCACAGTTCCAGACTCCGTACTCCTACTGAGAATTTTTTAAAAACCCAGTAATACTTTACCCGACGCGGTAATCGAACCAAAGACCACTTGCTCGGCAGTCGGACTTGCGACCACTCGGCCAACGAGGCAGTCAATATACAATATATTTCACCATTTAAGTTATCAATCACAATATTCAGACTCCAATAATTACAACATTCTTAATTACTTCGCTAGACCAGCCATAAATAAACGACACAAACGCTAGTCGCAAAAAAATACAGTAATATTTCCGCCCTGAGAATCGAACCAGCAGCTGTAACCAAATACCATTTAGCGCTTGTCTACATGTAGAATAGAAAAACAAATTATATGGAATTGACGTAACTTTGACACTTGTCAGTGTCATCCCCATACATTTTGATTTCTACTCTCTCTGTAGACAAGCGCTAAAGTGGCATTTTAATCAAAATGTTCTATTCGATTAGCGATTAAACCATTTATTCAAGAGCTAGTATTCGAGCACAAGATCTTCTCATTCAACAGTCATATTAACAACCACTACAATATTAGGTAGTAGTCGAATGGGGTCTACCGTATTTTTGTTCAACAGGTGGCGCTAGTGTGTGCCTCTCGTTCTCCGTCCAATAGAGGATCAGAGAGTGTCACGACATTGAACGGTTCATATTTGACAGCTGCTGTTATTTATTGGCCAAAAAACTAATTCCTACATTGCTTATTTTAAAAAGAGTAACGAATGGAGTTTCTTGCTCGTTCTTCTTCACTCGAATCTACATTTTGGAACCTAGCTTCACTAACGGACAGACTGACAACTATTATATATTTTATATTTGTTGACGTTTAAAAAGTACCAAATTCATTTTTTTTTTAAACATTGCCCCACATTGAGATATCCTCCTGTGTCGTGGGTGCGTTTACAAACATACAAGTTCACATACACATGACACCCAGACACGGAACAACAATTTGTGGATTACACAAAGTGTTGTTCCGTGCGAGAATCGAACCTGCGACACGCTGCACGGCAGCCGGTTGTCCAGCCACCGCACCAACCGTGCGGTGTTGATGATGTTTTAAATTTTTTACTCCCAAAATTATGGTTTTAAGTTTTAGTTTGCAGTGAGCAGAAATACGGTAGCCCAGTTGATTCAAAAATGTATACAAGACGGCCAACTATAAACTGCTAAAGGTACAAGGAACAAAATTCTTCAAAACAATTACATTATAAAAATTGAAAGTACTTACAGTCGTTTCCACCAACCACCCCTTAAACATTTCCTAACTAAAAGCTACTTAGCGCGCCGTAGCATCTAAGCTAACCCCTTACTTGTACTGTTGGCTGTCACTTAACCTCTCGCGTGTTTCTCGTACACACGGGTGTACGAGAGAGTTGAGTGCCCATCGCCGCAATTGTACACACGGGTGTACTAGAAACGCGCACCGATTGTATATTTTTTCTGTGACGTATATTTTCAAGTTTGCAACCCGTTCTTTATTTGATTGAACAGAATAGTTAATTCGCTTTTCTATTCAAAAATTTACCCGCGCGCGAGAGGTTATAGATGGTTAATGTCGCTAAGTGTTAGCTTAGGGGTTTCTTAAAATTAACTCGTCGAGTACCGTCATTATAGACACAATTATAGAACAATAGGTTGCGGTCACCGGTGACTGCTTGGTGTTTGACAGTTTAAGGAGAGGTCAGTGAAAACAGACATTATTATACCGTAGGTGCGATAATTTAATACAACAATTAAACTTTCGACTTTGATGTTAAAATAATATCATCAAATTTATTTCAGAAAGCGTATACAAACACATTTTGAAGTCTAAATCTATTTAAAATTTGACTTTTCAAAAGCATACAATCTCAGAAATCTTAACAATATTGAAATTTATTTTTTGTAACATATTTATCGAATTAAGAATAAGGGCTACTGTCCAAACTGAATCGATAAACGGTGGATTTGACGTTGTCGCTTCGTAAACAGTATTATCGTTTCAAAGCAAGATGCGAGCATGTTCTTATAATAACTAAGGACATGCTAATTTAACTAAAAATCGCGGGTTACTCACGTGAATATACTGAGAAAAGCTCTATAGTTTCAAGCCACAGAGGGGCTCTTCTTGATCCTACTGTTGTAGCCTACTACAGTAGGCTCCTGTAGTAGGCGGCGCGACATAGCCGCGAACGCGCACGCTGCTCTTGAGGAAGAGCCCCTCTGTGACTCGAAACTAGTAGAGCTTTACTCAGTATATTCACGTGAGTAACCCGCGATATTTAGTTAATTAAGATGCAAGCATTTGTCATTTGTACCCCGCCTATTGTTTGTGACGGATGCATGCATTCGTCAAATGACGCAACGTGGACAGTTACCCTTACTTTTGTTAAACAAATCAACATGCATAACTTGACAACTCCTTTTTTCATTAAAGGGGTAGACAGAAACCTAACCAAAACTCAATTACAGCTTGGCAAAAAAGAGTTAGGAATAATAGAGGTCGCTAGTATCGTATCTGGCAACCTGGTACACAGACTCAATCGGTTTTGATATTTGTTATTTTTATCGAGTGTAACAAGAGGAGGTACTATGTTCGGATGCTCGTTTAGTTTATTCATGGGATATGGTCCGAAGTGAGTGTTTCAGTCTAACTGGATATTAGTTCCTGCTGTCATCGTGTCTAACTCTTTTTTGTCAAGCTGTTCTTACTTAGCCCGATTTAGAAATCTAACCAGAGACTTATTGGTCGATAGACTAACTTCTCTAAATTACACAGAGCCATAACATCACGTTTTTAAATTTAAATAACGGTTGACAGAGGTGTATAATATATAAAATGTAGCACCCACTTTTCACTATTTATGTTATGAGTCCCATGTAATAGGGGGTGAGCCTATTGCCATATACCGGACGTAAAGGGGTAGATGACTAATTTCTATTTAAATGTCCGTCTGGTAGATTATTTTAAAACATTACACACGTATTTTACAGAAACAAATACTTTCAACGATATATTGATTTGAAATATCGCGTGACGTCACTTCTAAGTACGTTTTATACATAGAAATGACGTAGTTAGCTGCCACTACTAAACTTTGATTCGTATCGACAAATAAAAAAAAATACGTGTCTAATATTTTTTCAATACCTAACCGACGGACTAAATACAATTTATATGTTCCCTATTACAAAAAAAAGAATTAAAAACAACATTTTAGACATAGCAACATTAAAAAAAAACAATATTTATTGAAAAAAAAATTACAACAGTCGTCCCCTACAGTTGGGCGCTCCGCAATAACAGTATAGTACCTTCCCGGGAACTGAGCCTACATCGTAGTTGTAGTTCCAGGTCAGTTCTGTGCCCGCCTTAATATGCGATAGTGCGAAGAATGCGACCCAGGGGAAGCGTGGGTCGTGGGTGTCTACGAAAACGTTCTGTACGAAGACGTTGGGGCAACAGGAATGCTGGAAGAGAACAATTATAGGGTAAAAATGGGTACTTAATAAATATCAATAAAATTATACTAAGTACCAAGTTTTCGATCATCAGTTAATTAACAAAGAATTTTGCAAATCGCTTCACGCATCTCAGAGTTATGCGCGTACATACATACAAAAAAAAAGCAGCATACCGGCCGAACGTATAACCTCCTCCTTTTTTGAAGTCGGTTAAAAATCGCGAGTTACTCACGTGTATATACTGAGAAAAGCTCTACTAGTTTCGAACCACAGAGGGGTTCTTCCTCATGAGCAGCGTGCGCGATCTCGGCGACGCCGAGCCGCTCACTGTACACTAGTAGAGCTTTTCTCAGTATATTCACGTGTATAACCTGCGATTTTAGTTAACATCGTTAATTCTTAACTGTTTTTAGTAAGGAAGAATTGTCAAATATTCAAAATTACTAGTGAATAGAATTCGAGAGGTGAACAAATATTGAGAAAATAATATTTATTCACCTCATTCCTGTATCTATTCACCCCCCGAATTCTATTCACCCCGTTTACTATTCTTCAGTTAAGATTTATCTGGAGTTGGAAAAATCGGCCCTAAAACGTGGTCATACGTGTTCCAGAAAACAATTTGTGGATAACACAAAGTTTATTTAGATTATTTTATTTTTCATTATTCAAAGTTTATTGAGATAGATGGCGCTGTGCTGTCACGTAAACATTAAGCTCCGTACATAAATGTTAAAAAAAAATAATAAACTCATTAATTTCCTTAAAATAACATGTTCAATCTTGTGTAAATAGCATAAATTACCTGAGATATTGTTATCTTCTTGCGAACTTCGCCCTGGACAAAGTTATTTAGTAATTTCATGTGAACAGTTATAAGTGATTAAAAGTGATTAAAAACAATTAATTAAGTGATATTGGTACTGTTTTATACATACGCATACTATAGTTATTATCAAACAATAAGTGAATGTGTAAAATCAACAAAAAAAGTGCAAAAACTAAAAACCGTTGAAATTTAAATATCTAACAAGTACTGCTATAATAACATTCGAATGAAACAATAAACTATACTTCAATTTCGTCACTATCATTAATGTATCCAATAGCCGATGCAACATTACGAGGAATGACAATTATCTGACACCCGGATCGATCCCCGCTAAATGTAAACTCTTTTTGTGAATTTATAGTTTGGTTTATCCAACTAAAAATTAAAACTACGATGAATTTCTTAAATAACATTACGTTACGACGAAACCGAACATTTTCGGACCCAAATAAAAGTAACGTGAGCGACGTTTCTACACATACCCTCCATGATGAAAGTGTATCAAGTATGCCTGACTTGTCAAATGATGAGTCACAAAATGAACTAATACATAAATTAAAACAACAAATTAATAAACTAGAATCTGAACTTAGCAGTGCTCACCAAGAAATCGAAACTCTTTCTATGGAAAATACAAACCTCAAACGCACGAATTTTGAGCTACTAGAACAAAATAACCTATATAAAACTGTTACCCAAAGCCCCATAAAAAAAATCAAAACAAACACACCTCTCAGAAAAGAAAAAACAAGAAGAAATAAACAATTGTATACATCAAGTCAACTACAGTCGTCACAAACGATAGATATAACTAACATTCCGGGCCAGCCATTATCTGGTGCCGAGCCTACACAACGTCAAACGGAAATAAAGAGAAAGGAACCTAAAAATAAAATTCATATATTAAGCACTAGTACCAGACATAAAATATTATCTATTTGTCAAAAAACCTTCCCCGAAAAATACGATATTTGCCATTATCTTACGCCAAACTGCAGTACAGAACAACTTATTAATAATTTAGAAACCAAAATACAAGATTTTACGTTAAACGACTTCTGTGTCATTTTAATAGGCGAAGAAGATTTCAAAAGCACTCATGACTACTTTAGCCTTATACTCCATATAAGAGAAGTTTTACAAAATCTAAGTCACACTAATATAATTATTTGTTCGCCAACCTTTAAGTATGGACATCACACAAATATGTTCAACTGGCGAGTGGCAAACTTTAATAACCTGTTATATTTTGATATTCTAGAACATGAGCACGCTTATTTCTTGGATTCAAATAAAAATCTTAAATGTAGTTATGAGATGTTTAATATAAGGAGTGGCACGATGAATAACGTCGGCATGAAAACTATCTTCCAAGACATCCGAGACTTTATTAATGGAATAATCCAATACGAAATACGCACGGTGGATAGTCAATCGTCCTCAAATCAGCTGACTTATGGAAGCACCGCTGAATCTATGTTTTTTCGAAACTAAACACCTACATGTATTACACCAAAATATAGCTGGATTGTTTAACAAAACTGATTTCTTGATGATAAATATCGAAGAACTTGCAGATAAAAACAAGAATATTGATGTCCTTTGTATTACGGAACATTTTATGATGGCAGGTACTGAAACATATCTCCACATAAATAACTATGTATTGGCTAGTTGTTTTAGTAGAAGTAACAGCAAAAGAGGCGGAGCTTGCATCATAGTTCATAAAGACCATAAATGGAGAGAAATTACAGAAGTTAAAACACATTGTATAATTAATGTATTTGAATGTTGTGCTATCGAATTAATTGATTACAAAGTAGTTATAGTCTGTGTCTATAGAGTGCCGAATTCAAATAATTTGGCTACATTTCTTACTAAGCTTGAAAAAGTTCTTTTGCTCATTACGAAAATAAAATGTAATAATATTTTAATAGCTGGGGACTTTAATATTGACATTTTAAAAAGTAATAATGTATCACTAGACTTCGAATGTTTGTTGTTAAACTTTAACTTGAGGCTTGCTATAAAACAGCCTACTAGACTAATTAGTCTGACTTGTATAGACAACTTTGCCCATGATTTTAAAAAACAATGTAAGACTGAAGTGTTGGAATTTGGTTTATCAGATCATACAGCCCAATTAATAATACTCCCGATAAAAAAGGTCTTCAAATTTAAATACTGGTATAAAACGGAACGAAATTATTGTAAAGAAAACATTGATAAATTTAAAATGTGCATCAAGAATTTTTCTTTCTCAGAACTGTATACCATTAATGATACAGATATTGCATATTCATATTTTATAGACAACTTTAAATTATTCTACGATATGTGCTTTCCGCAAACAATATCAAAGATACAAGTAAATTATAAATGTAAATGGATATCACGCGGAATCAAAGTTTGTTGCAAGAAAAAAAGAATGTTGTTGTGGAAATTTAGACACGAATCGACTAAGGTGAATAAGAACAATTATGTCAGATATTCCAAATTACTGAAAAGAATTATATCTCTAACAAAGTGTGCCCAAAATAATTACAAAATTAAAACATCGGATAACAAATCCAAAACAACATGGCAAATTATCAATAAAACACGGCCGAATTTACCAAGGGAACCCATAGAAAAAATTAAAATCCAAAATAAAAGTATCACAAATGCTAACGAAATAGCTGGCACATTTAATAATTATTTCGTTGACAAAGTTAAACCAATCCCGGGTGCCGGTAAAAAAGCAACATCCCTAATTAAACCTAGACTTGACTCAATGTATTTAGCTCCTTGTACACCTATTCACGTATTTAAAATAATAACTGGCCTAAAAAACACAAGAAGTGTTGGTTATGATGGAATCTCAACGAAAATAGTTAAGGATGTAAATGGTTATATATGTCATCATTTAAGTTATGTTATTAATCTATCTATTACAAATGGCATATTTCCAACAGATCTTAAAGTGGCAATTATTAATCCATTATTGAAAAAAAATGACAAGGAATTAGTCGAAAACTACCGACCCATAGCCTTTCTTTCAGTGTTTTCAAAAATCTTTGAGACTTATTACAATTTAGAACTAAATAATTATTTGGAAAATAACAATATCTTATGCAACGAACAAAAGGGCTTTCGAAAACATAAAAATATAAATATGGCTGTCTTTGAGTTTTTAAAAAATATTATGTCCGCGATTGATAAAACCACCCCTGTATGCTCGATCTTTTGTGACATGACACAAGCCTTCGATTATGTTGATCATGCAATATTAGCTAGTAAACTGGAGGCATATGGCATAAGAGGAAATGTCTTAGAACTATTTAAATCTTATCTGTCTGGTCGTAAACAAATTACACAAATAACAAAACTTAACTTAAAAACCAAAACAGAAGAACAGTATCAATCCCAAGTGAGACATGTTACATACGGTGTTCCCCAAGGTAGCATACTGGGACCCACGCTATTTATTACTTACATTAATGATCTTCCTCGTGCAACTGTGCAACCTATGATATTGTTTGCAGACGACAGCACAATTAATATTATATGTAAAGATAAACAGTTATTTGAAATCGACATAAATGAGTCCCTAAATTCAGTAATAACATGGCTTGACAATAATAATTTAAAAATTAATATGAATAAAACAAATGCAATGAATTACAGTCAAAGACCTCAAAATGCAATTCAATTTAAAGTAATATATAAAAATAATGTAATTAAAGAAGTAGAAACAGCCAAATTTCTTGGTTTAAAAATTGACAATAGACTCAATTGGAAATGTCATACTGAAGAGCTTTGTACAAAAATAAGTAGCTTATCTTATGCGATGTATAAACTGTCATCAACAGTGAGCAGAGACGCGTTATTGACGGCATATTATGGGCTGATAGAATCGGTGCTTAGATACGGTCTAATATTTTGGGGAAACTCGACCAACACGGATATGGTATTTAAAATGCAAAAACGCTGTATCCGGGCCATGTTCAGGATTAAAACTACTGACAGCTGTCAACCACTGTTTAAGGAGTACCATATACTGACACTTCCGTCACTATACATCTTGGAAATAGCTTTATTTGTAAGAAATAACCCTCTCTGGTTTCCTCTCTTAGCAGATAATATTGTTAGGAATAGACGCAAGAAATATAAACATTATCTACAGCCTCACTCTGCGAAAACAGCACTTCTCCGTAAAAGTGTGTTTTGTATGGCACCTTTAATATATAATAAAATTCCGCATAATTTGAAAAATATAAATAATAATACTTTGTTCAAAAAAGAACTAAAAAAATTACTTATTAAGCATTGTTATTACCATATTACGGATTTTTTAAATGATAATTTATAAGTTCATTGTTTCATATGTTTTAACTTTAGTTGTCTCTTTAATAGATTTATACATTTTATAATTATTTTGTACGCCAATTGTGGCAAGACATGTTGAGACGTTACAGTGTTTATTTTATAATCTGCATTTGCATTGATATGTATAATGTTACCCACACATGTTTATACAAATAAATATATCTTTATCTTTATCTTTATCTTTA